CCCTTTTCATGGCAGCAGGGCTTTTAAAAGAACCCTGCTACCTTTGACCACTATTCCACAGATGCCTGAGGGTACAACCCAGCCCTGGAAGGTATCCAATAGGAATTAATTTTGAAATACGGAGCCAACATGTTCTTTGCATGGCTGCATGAGCTATTCTAGGACTTCTCAAAGTTAATCCAACTTTGAAGTATGGATACTCTACAGGGTCATTCACTTAAACATTCTTCGATATAGGCATGTGAGTCCAATATACATATTAGTTCTTCTACATGCCTCCCTTCCTGCTCATCTGCTACCTTAGTAGTGTATTCCCAGGTACCATGTTGGTTCCAGAATGGCACAAGAGCTCACCAAATATAGCTGACAAATAGCTCGCAGGATACAAGTGACACTAACTCTAGGAAACCATCCTTTTGGTAGCAAGCAGTTCCAGATATAGGGCCATATCACATGTTTCACTGTAATGGGATCACATTCATCAGCTCTTAGAGGTGAAGAAACCTTATGGCAAAATAACGCTAAACAGAACTGCAGATATTTTATGATTCTATATAGGTCTGCATAGGGAAGACAGTTCTCCATAGGCCTGTGTAAGAGGCAGCTTTTAATATGACTATCACTCTACAAAGACAAATTCAAAACAATCATGCAGAGGGCCAAGGCCACATTGATGGATTCACTCATAGGGAACATCACCTACAGGAGTGAGCACTCTCTCTGAGCGTCAACAGCCCACACTAGCAACCTAAACACTGAGTCACATAGGTCCTGTATGGTCAGAGCATGCAGGCCAGAACAGGCAAGCTGTGTCAGACTTCTGCCTCCTGTGCCAGTAACACAGTTTTATTAAATTGGAGTATTAACTTTTGCAACTGCGCAAGCAATAAACCAGAAATAGCATTACTTTCACTTGTAAGGTACTTCTGTTACTGCTTATAGCTCTACCAAGCTAAGAACAGGGAGTTACACTCTCAGAAAACCAAAAAGTAGTTAATTTTTTAAAAGATGTTTCACTTAGCTGCAATTTGCAAAAGCTATGAGCAAGAATAATTACTCATACAGCAAGAGGCATCAAAAATGCTATTTGAAGGTCCCATCACAGGACCACAAGACTCAGCCAAGTAACAGAGGAAGACATTCTCCCTTACTCAACAAGGAGGGATGCTGGAATTGGCAGCTGTGTAGAGGAAAAACTATCATGTACATGTACAAAAATTCAGATTTCCTGACATGTCCTTCACATGGCTGGCTGACCTTCTGTGCAAGCTGGCAGGTTTCGGAACTGATGAAAATTAATCATACAAGCATTCAGTGGCTACATGTTGTTAAATCATTTTTTAAATGCTCATGAGGTACCCATGTCTTAACAGCTACAATCAGTTTGAGTCAAGTACCATTAACCATATGGCTTATTGCAAGTAAGATACTTACCCTAACAATTTGTGTATGCTGTCGTTCAACGGCAAGGTGCAGAGCAGTTTGCTGGTTAACATTCTGGATATCCAGGTTAGCATTGCCCTGAAAGATATTCAAAGCATTAGAGCATTATCATCCCAGCAATTCATCTACAGGCAAGGCTGTCCATTAGGACACTGAATACGACTCTGAATATGATTCCTAATTTGGAAATTTGGGAGCAGAAGTGATTAAATACTTTTAATTATTCACTGTACAGATGTTCATCTGTTGAATCAAACCAGGTATCAAATTCTTCAGTCCCTCTGCACCATTAGGCCACTGTAATGATCTCAAAGGTAAGCTTGACCTTTAGAGTTCCCCACATGTCCTTCCCTGCCCCGTGGCTTCTGCATTGCGACTGCAGCAAACTATTTTCAAATCAGATGGTTAACTGAAGCGTGACATTTAAATCCTCCTGAGAAGAGTCCTACCTGATGCACCAAAAGTTCAGCCACTTCTACATGATTATTGAGAGCTGCCAGATGCAACGCAGTGTAACCATCATCTTTTTTCTCATCAACGATCCACGGTCGTGGTAACTTGGACAACAATACACGCATTGCACTGAAATAAAGCATGCAGAGATGGCCTAAATGCACCCATAATTCATTTGCCGAATGAGAACAGGACAACAGTAAATCAATTTTAATTCTCAGAGCCACAAAGCAATAGTAGCTAAAATAATATTAGTATTTTTTTAAAAAGAGAACATGTGTAAAAAGCTATACTGACAGCTCCAAAGCATAATAATTTCATGTTCAGTTTCTTCTACTTAAAGCATACAAACATACCATACAATACACAGAGTGTAGGAATCAGACTTTTTTTCCAGAAGATTGTTATCTAACAGTAAAAACAACCTTAAAAAAAAAGTATTCACAAAAGTTCTGGAACATAGTTGACAGAACTGTTGTGCCTCAAAATCCTTATAGCATCCTTTATTTCATGGGCAAGTTCCACTACATTAGGTTTCTTTAAAATCATCACTTTATAAACTGCTGTCATGGGTGTTAACAGTTAAGATTTTCAATTTCTGAGATAAAAGTGGAGTGAGACCTCTTAGACACAGACAAAATAAATGCTGAAACTGTAAAGCAAGTATTAGTGGAATATTTTCATAACAGGTAGTGGTTATGATATACCATGGCAGTGTCTAGTCCTCCACCCTGCTTTTGTATGTGCTTACCAAGATGCCTACCAAAGGAAGGCGATTTATTATCTCAAACCTCAAACTCAAGGGTTGGGAAAAGCACCTCAATTACTAGAGTATTAAAGCAGACTAAAATGCATGAAGTTCAAAGACTGCAGTGTTAAAGGTATTAATAACACATTACAAGATAAACAAATTGCTCAATCTTGTGTTCTCTTAGAAATACACTTTTCTGAAGTACACGTGTCTTCACTTAGCTTTTGGAATAGGTAAGTAGCTAAACTTAATTCCCTTATTGTCTTATCTTTATGGACAGCACATGCAGCTCTCTTATGACAGTTCCTCAGAGACAAACAGAAAACCAGAAACTGCTATAATCTTGTGCCAGGAAACCTCTTCTGTCATCTATCTTTCCCATATTTAGAGGAGAAACAGAGCTTCTTCACAGAATTCAAAAATCCATATAATACTAGCTAACACAAGTGGAACCACTGAGTCACAGAATGCATTACAAGGCAGATACTATAACTGAATTAAGCAGTTATTCATTAGCCACCTGATATTGAAAACATGGGATCTCAATAAGCCTTAGAAATGCCATCATGAAATGAGCCTCTCACCTTTTACTTAAAACTATTCTCAAAAGATTGCAGTAAGATTACTGCACCATCAAGTAATAACTGAACTCCTAATCTATTCCAAGAATCTGCTACCTTTAACATCCATCCACAGTGTGTACTATTCACTCCTAAGTGATCTTTTAGAGTAAGCCAACAAGTTTCCTATATAACAAACAAAAAGCTGTGGTTCTGGGGATAACTCACTCCAATGAGCCCTCCTGAAAAACAGAAACCAGAGTCCATGAAGGAGACCAGTCCATGAAGTACCAGTAAAAAAGGGCACTCATTCCCACACACTGCTTGGATGCTATCCTAACAGACCCTGACTTCTTAATAATCTCTTTGTTGTCCTGCTACTGCACTCAGAATGCAACATGAATCCTCGGTTTACACTTAATACACCATCCTGGCAATTGCAGTGTAACTGTTGCTTTTCTTCCCAGATTCACTGCCTGAAGGAACCACAACTAAGCAACTGCATCTTCAGGCCACGGGATCACACAGGTCCACAGGAGACTCATGACCAACGGCTACATGGAACATCCACAACCAGGCTGCTCTGGAGGTTTGTCTTTCACAGAGTGGACATAAGTACTTGGCCAGGAACCCAATGCATTTTGCTGCCTACAGGTTCTCTCAGTCTTTTCAGACTCCATCTAATCACAACTTCCCCGAGGTAAGCAAATAAATAAGAAACCATTCTCAAACTTAGGATTTTTTTGTTTTCCTGGCAGGACTAAGCTGCTCACTTCCTCACAGTCCAAATCACTTGTAACACAGCAAAATAAAACAACACTTAACAGATTGTACATTGCTCATTGTGTGACATTGCTCAGCTTCTATTCATAACGCCTTCTACAGCTCTGTCACATGCTAGGAAAAAAAGACTAAAATATTTGGTGGGGGGAGCTGGGGACGACCATAACATTCTTTGAGAGATTCACTTATGCAGGAGTTTCCAAAATACCCAATATGATTTAGTAAAACACAAAGTTATCAAAGCCTTATGAAATGAAGCAAAATAAACAAATATTAGTTCAATTGATAAATATCATATTTTGTAATTAAATAAAGTATTTTCAAACCCCAGATATAGGTACATATCTGGTTTACAACATCAGACCTGTTCTAGCTGCCTTAGAGAGGAAGCAAGTCTGGAAACACTGAGGTTTGCATCCTATCTGGACTGTACCTGGGCATACCACCACCAGCTCTTCAGCTGATAAAGAGGAGCACATAATAGCAGCAGCACAAGCTGGTCTACTTTCTACAGTGGCTTCCCACAGGGTATCGTGTCATGAAAGCTCTTCACTTGCCAAGCTCAGTGCTTTATAGACTCCATGAAGCTCTAGAGTGTCTATAGTGGATAATCTAAAAAGCACAACAAAAATCACCTGAAAATTCTTTATGACTGACATAAGCAATATGACCACTGTGAGCAACCAGTCAAATGTGGGGCAACAATAACCTACAAAAAAATCCAGGATCAATTAACTTTTTTTCTTACAACTGCAAGTATAACTTGAGGAATGCTATGGGAAGGTACCACCACTCAAATCTCTAATTATAGCCAGCCTGTTTCCAAAGTAGCTCTAGTCACTAAACAAGGAACTGTCTTAACCAACTCAGATGATATTTTATATTCTTTTCTTCAGTAAGGAAATAAGGAAACCGCCAACATCACAGATAAATAAAGTAAAATTTAAAGTACATCCACACACTTTAACAGATGTATCGAGAAGTGAATATACTTCAGAAACATTATTGTTGCCATTTCTTCAACACCTCTCATCTTTGAAAGAAGAGTAGGAAATCAATTGACTCAGTATTTTGTATGCTATGAAAAAAATCACTCATCCTAATATTTGCAAGAGCTCTAGCCTTACCAGATCCTCTGTCAAATCTTTTCCTACTTAGTTTGCAGTTAAATACCAGGAAAATTTTCATCTGTAGTTCAACTGTCGAATATTAGGGTGCATCTTGCCTTCATATAAATCAGATGCCTGCTACATTTTTGGATGCTTTTAGAATGCACTGGTCTTACTGAAAAAAAATAGGACCAACAAAAGAAAAAAACAGCTTCCATGTGTAACAGATTTTTATCTTCTCACAGCGAAGCATCAGAGGGCCAGTAACTACTCTTCAGTTGCTTCTGCCTATGCAAGTACAGACTACATATTTCTCTCTTCCAGACTGCACTAAATTACAGGAGAGCAGGATGAAGGATGGTTCCACAGACATAACACCTTAAAATTCTGCAAGATATTAATATGCTACAAATGACAAATTCTTCTATGATGCTCAGTGGCTGCATCTTCCTCCTCATTAGCTGAGAGGTAGTTTCTTCCAATACACAAGATCCTGTTCCCTCACACTGCAGCCTTCCTTCCTACAGCTATTCTATTTTGCAGGATTTTCTAGAGCTGCTGCCAAAATTTTGACAGCTAAGTGGCTACCATTCAGAATAGTGCTCACTGGAACAGACATACATCATATCATAAGAAGTCATATTAATGAATTAATGTTGCATGCCAATTACACGGCAATTCCTGATGCACTTTTCCACACAAAGTACTAAAGAAGCCACCACCTTGTACCGCTCCATTTTCAGGACCACAACACAGATGTGGTCGTGAAAACTTGCCTTCATCTTGTATATGTTAAAACAGACCACACACTTGCACTGTAACTATACTGAAAAGATCAATACCAGTAGCCCTGACTACGCAATCAGCTGAAGAAAACTCTTCAGACTATCATCTTCGATTCATCAAGTGTTACAGATTACATGGCTGAGTAGATGCAAAGATTATTGACAAATTAACATCATCACTATGCTATTTAAAGATTATTACTAAAGCACTACTAACGAAAAAAAGAACTGCAAGCTTTGGCATTTGTTGGTCTGCAGTATATTCAGATTAGCAGGAAGCTGATAGAAGACTTTAGGCCTTTTTGAGTTGGATGATCTTTTTCAAGTTCTGAAATTTTCAAGATGGGACAACAAAGAAAAACTCCAGCAAAATTTGAGGAAATTTTCTGTAAGACTTTGAGGAGGGTGAGAAAACTAGTTCTTCTTTCACAAGACCTAAATACCTGCTCAGTGAAAAAGGTAACAAGAAAGCACTGTGGGTATAGGGTGCTCAGATCAAGATATCTGTTGCTTTCCCAGATCCAGCTGTTGGGGGTACAGTGACTTATAAAGCCCACTATAATTTTTATATATATATATATATATACACACACACACACACCCCCATCATAAAATGGTAGTCCAAGCTTGAGCAATTAAAAGTGATTTGGTAGAAACAACACTCACTTATACTATGTTACACTGAATTTGAGAAGTAGAATAATAACAACAAATGCTGCAGCTGCATGCACCTTTAATTTGACCTTGCCACACAAATTTTTCTTAAAATAAAAAAAAACTTAATAAAAAACCCCGTTTTTTAGAGAGTCTAGAGAGCTTAACATGTATAAATGATATATTTAAATTATAAATTAATAGCAGAATGAGAATTCAACAGCATGAATTTTATATTTGCAACATAACATAAAATGCATCACAGATCTGAACAATACACTAATCCATTTTTAGCCACACAGAGCACTTGTTTCAACACAAGTTAACAACATTAGACATACCAAAAAAATAAAAATCATTGTTATGACCAAAAGTTTTAACATAATATATCATTCATTATCAACCTACATATAAAATCTCTTTACTTATGCAGTATTTTACTCTCAGAATTTATACACATACTCATCAGCATTACCTAAGAATGCCA